ACCTGTTACCCTGAGAATTGGTTGTTAAACATCCCCAAGCGGTGTGATGAGCATTGAAATCGCCCCCGATTACACATGGCTTCGGGAGAGATTCCAAAAACTCGTCCCACTCATCCGTCCCTATGGAACTTCTTGGAGTAACATAAATGTTTACAAAAAATATACTGATTTTGTTGGTTGATAGTAGTTGGATACAGTTTGCTTGCAGTTTATTGGAGTGTCTTACCATAATCTCATTATATTTTAACTTTAACTTTACCAGGAAAGCCACACCTCCATACCCGTCAGGGCGGTCTTCCCTAATAACGTTATAACCTGCAAAATTTACATATTTTGATGGCTTAAACCACGTCTCTGAAAGCATAGCAATATCTATATCTTCATTTATTAACATATTTTGAAGATTTTCCTTATTAGATATAGCTGATCTACAATTCCACTGGCAAATCTTAAAACAACTGTTCATCAGATATTGCGTTAAATTTATCTTGAATAATACTAAGTAAAGTTGATTCCTGAATTTCAAATTTATTTTGTTGTTTTAAGATTCCTATAATAGATAAAATTAAACCTACTAAAGCATTCTCCGTAACAGTGACACAAGTGTCTTGATGAGGCTGATTCAATGTTAAGTTTGATGTGTAATTTTGTTTTTCGAAAACGGCTGTCGATGAACTCGGTAAATTAATTGGTGATATAATTTTTTTGTGCAAATTCAGTGTATTTTCTTGTTCTTGAGACCTCACCAACCTAGGTCTTTTGTGAGAAACCGCGGGATGCTGGGAGTACACCGAACTCGACTTTTGCCCGTTTGGCTGCGTTTGGGAAGAAGGAAATATATTAGATTGTAACTGAAAACCATTAGAATTACTGTATAAATTGTGGTTACTTTCGGCTATAAAATTATTGTTTAAAATTTCGGTCGATCCCGGATATTTATTAACCACTTGTGCATAGGTAAATTTAGGGGTTTTTTTGTTAGCTTCGGCATAAGATAAATTTTGCTCAGTCATTAATTTTTTAATTGTTTTTTGTCTATTAAATTCTGGACACTCTTTTATTTCATTTGTATAATGTTTTCCACTACAATTGAAACATGATTTTTCTACTAAACTTTTTTTGCAGTCTTTTGTCTCGTGTCCCTCTTTACACTTTAAACAGCGAACGTTACTTCTACACTGCTTTATTAAATGACCGTATCTATAACAATGAAAGCATAGTAGGACCTTTTGCTCGTAGGGTTCTACCGGAATTCTTACATGATTAATGCATATATATTGTGGTAACCTAGATGCTTTAAAAGTAACAAAAAAAGTTTTTGTAGGCACGTATTCTTTAGTACCGTCCTGTTTAATTACTTTGCGATTCATTCGTTTGACTGCCTCAACACTAAATTTACAATGCATATCAACCGGATTTATTTTCCCTTTAACATACCCTTCATCAAACTCATAATCTATATTTCGTATTATACCAAATTTATGTGTAATAAATTTAGGAATATATGCCAACAAATTATATTTCTTTAAATTAACCGACTTTAATAAATTATTTGCCGATTTATAGTCTTTTAATTTAATTCTTAACCTATTACGGCCTATAGAGTCTATGCAATTAATTTTGGAATCCAATTCTGGATGTTCTTTAAACAATATATCTCCTATTCTAATTGCGTTTAATTTACTATCGAAATTATCTAGACTACTTTCAACATAAACGTAAAAAGGAGCGATATCTATACTATTATAAAAACTTGGAATACGTACTGGTTTCTGGTTTTTATCTGTTGTTGAATCCGTATGATTTACGTTAGAATTATTAATTATTTTACTTACATTTGGATTATTGATATTTACTATTGTTGTTTTGTCTAATACATTACGTTGCGATTCTACCTCCATATCCATATTTGGGACATCTATGTCACCTTTGAATTCGGGTTGAGTTTCAATTTGGGGGGTTTCACCACCCCCCTGGTTGGCACTCATATTATACACTCACTATAAATTAAGTTTCTTATAAAACCTACTACACTAGAAATTTTAACAAAATTTTTCGAAATTGGACACTGTAGTTAATTACTTCGCACTCGATAAATCGACCGGTCGATTCAATGATCACGAACGAACTGATTTTAAATTATGCATTATACAATTCTTGAGATGAAAAATAAGTTTTAAATTTATCCCTGATGTCATAAGCTGAACTGGTGCCTCTGTTTTCACCCAAGGTTCCAAATCTTCCCGTTCTTGAATGTGTTTGATGAGGGATTTGCTCGAATGTACATGCTACTTGTTGCTCTCCTTCTTTATCAATTATAATGTTATGCAAGAGGCATATGCATTTAATAAGTTTATCGGCAGATTCGGGATTTACTTCAATTGATTTTTGTAATAATCTCCATTTGCTACTCATAATTCCGAATGCACATTCAACAACTTGTCTTGCTCGAGACAAACGCTCATTAAAAATTATTTCTGAAGGTCCTAATTTTGATACTGGAAAAGGTCTCATTAAATAAGTTTTTAGTGGATAAGCTTCATCTCCCAAAAGAACATGAGGTACTTTAATATTTGTTCCCGGCAGTGCACAATGTCTTGTAACACCTAATCCTCCGTTTTCAAGCTTTTGGCAAAGATTTGAATGCGAAAAAATACCACCATCACTTTCTTTACCGTACGCTCCCACATCAATTGCTATAAATTTGTAGTTTGGTCCAGCCACAGCTTGTAAAACAATTGAGAAGTATTGCTTGTAGTTTCGATACATACTTCCAGAGTGCTTTGGATTCTGTATGCGTATGTGTTTCCCATCTATGCATCCAACACAGTTTGGAAATTTCCACTTATTCCAAAATCCTTCAGATATAGATTCCATGTCTTCATTTTTCGGAAATGGCATATGTACAGTACCCAACTTGTCCCAAATAGCATCACACGTTTCGTGAACAATTCTACCCACCGTGACATCTGATATTCGAAACGAATACCCCAATGTCTTAAACGAGGAGCCCGTTGCCAAATACCTGAAATGAAAAAAAAACGTGATTAATTTGTAACGATTTTTTTTGTTTCAGTTGATGAACTAAAAAATAAATGGAGGGGGCTGCGAGACACATTCCGGAAGGAATTCAACAAGTCGAAAAAACAGAAATCTGGAGATGGTGCAGAATCGGTAGTTACCTCCAAATGGCCATATTATAAAATACTGTTGTTTTTATCTAAAACTGTTGAACGACGTAAACTGCATGGAAATATATCTCCGCAAAAGGAAGACAATAACAACTCTTATTCCGAAACAGAATCGACATTGGAGCCTGATGCAGACAATGCATACTCTCAATCAACCATTCAAGAGTCATCACAGCAAATTGTAAATACAGATATACAGCAGCCATCCACATCTGGTAATGAGGTTAAAAGTACATTCAGTACACCTAGTAGTACAACTATGCAAACTAAGAAAAACACAAACAGTCGTCTAAAATATGCTAGGAATTCCGAGGCAAATTCAATGGACGACAAGTTCCTCGAAATAGAAAGAGCCAAATTGGAAATATTGTGCCAACATAAAAATAGAGAAGATAGTGACAGTGAACGCCAATTCCTACTCAGTCTCCTGCCCTTTTTAAAGGCTGTACCTCAAAATCGACAAATGCTAATAAGAAGTAAGTTGCAGCAAGTATTTCTTGATGAGGAGCAATTATCTACAAGACACGCGCCCGGAGCATCATATCGTTCCAATGAAACAATTACATCAATACCGTTGCCTTCTCCAATGTCTTACACAGACACCGATTCCTCCAGAGCGTCATTCTATTGTAATGACTTAATATCAACACCACATCATTCTTCATCTTTGCAAAATACAGAATCTTCCGTGGTCTCACAATATTCAAGTGAAAGAAGAGAAGATGTTTCCTCTCAACAGCCGTTATCCATTCAGAACTATATTACTCACTTCAGCGCATAAAACAATGTATTTCTTTTCTTTGTATTTTTTAATAATAAAATTGGAAATGTTGCAACTACTGTATTTATTATAACTTACCTTAGAGTCACACTCAATCGTTCTTCTGGTGAAATGGTCTCACGGAAATTCGACATTTTTTTAATTGGTTCTCTTATGGCATCTAAAATATAGTTAAATGTATCCTGATTCATGCGATAGTAATCAAAAAACTTTTTCTCGTCCTTTTTCAAATCATCATGTAAATGATGAAATTCTCCGAATTCTTTTCGTTTTGCTAATATGTCATTAACCCAACATTTTTTTCTTTTTAATTTTAATCGCCGTCTAACAAGGTAACTATTTTCCAAAAGAATATGATCCATATTAAGTATTAATAATTATTATAGTATGCTTATTTGATAAATTACTACATATGACTGACTTCGTACAATGCGAAAACTTGTCTATAGTGGACGATACCACATATGCGAAATCTGACGAAATTATTCCTCCGATTTCTGACGAAAATATTTCGGACGAAAACGCATCCAAAGGACGACCGGCCTTATACGTACGAGCTGTTATACCCTCACTAAAAAAACGTCAAACATTACCAAAATGAATCTAGGCATTTTTCCATGTTGATTTCCATAAGATTTGCGCTTGGAGACACATAGCTCTTTTATTACTGTAGATCTAAGACATGTGCCACCTCACACGTCACGATCGGACCAATAGAAGCGAAGATAGAAGCTGTCATATTTGTCTCGAATTGCAAGTGATAACTCGTGACACGCCTTCAACACAACAATACGCCTCGACTGAAAGAAGGCTATGGAAGAACCATATTAGGTATTATGTATTACAAACCATCTTACGTCAGGCTGCGTTGCCCGAGTGATTAAGGAGATTATTTTTTTAAGTAAAATTTATTTGTTTTTATTTTTTTATAAAATGAATTATATTTAGAGAAATTTTGATAGGATTAACGCGTCTAAATTACTAAGAATCATATTAATTAATTTTTCGTTTTCTTTCCTTTAATGCAGCTGCAGAACGTGACGGACTAATAAACTCGGTGCGTAAAGCTGAATTGTCTAAGACTGAGATACAATATCTTATTGATCTATTACTAAACAAGCAGCATGAGGCTCCCGCAGTTATCGACGATTGGAGTGAGGTAAAGTATTAATAAAAAACGACTCTCAGTTCCCGCTCAAAAATTCTCTTATTAATAGGGAAAATCCGACCCGATTCAGAAGCTGAAAAGACAACTCGCCGAGAAAGAAAAAGCCCTCGTCGACGAACAACAGGCACTCGTCGGTGCGCAGGCCAAGCTGAGAGAGATAAGAAGCGAACAACAGGCGGAAAAATCACAACTTCAACAGAAACTGCGCGTAATGGAGGAATCGATGCAAACCAAACAGATAGAAATCCAAGCGGCCGCCAATCGGTATCAAGTGGCGTCTCAAAAGATGCAACAAATTCAAAATGAACTCAGCGCCGAGATGATGAAGACGCGCAAACTGATGGACGACAACAACGCCTTGCAGATGCAAGTCCAGCAATATGAAGTTAGCATTCCGCAGGTGCAGGAGGTATGTAAAAATTTAAATTTTAAGACATTTTTACATAGTAAATCGTTAATATTAAATGGCGCAAAACATCTTATTTAAAATTTATAATGATTTACTGCCTCTCCTTCTACCCCTGTAACACTCTATATAAGTTTTTCACTCTCCAAATCATCGCTGAACTTGGCAACAGATAAAAGTCACATGGTGTCAGTTAATGCAAATTAGGCGGATGATTACACTAGAGGGTTAATCTAAGCTAGAAACGGCTATAGAGAATACATTGTGCTGTGTTTTCTTTATTATGTAACATAGATTTGTCTTTTATAAATCGACTACTTTTCTTATCTTGAGGAGGCTAGGACCCACACAAGGTTGTAAAGCCAGATTAATGATAATGACTTTTTCTTATCTCTTTTCACTAATTTTATCAGCAATTTCATGGCAATACGATTATATGAATTTTTTATTTTCGTAGAAAGTGGAAATATAGAAGTTTTTATTCATAATACATTCATATTAAATGTTGTGTAACCTTTTATTTTTAATTTTTTTATATATTATTTACTTACGTTTCTCATATACATACACCTCCTTGTCTACAAAGAATGCTCCCTATAAGTTTCCTATTGTCCAAAATATCGCTGCATGCCTTCTTCTAGAATTAGCTTCGTAGTACTTTTTATCTTTCTATAGCTTCAATGTTTTGGAATTTTGTTTCTATGAATGCAGACACATGGTGTCATTTAGGTTAGTTTTCTACAGTTTCCTAGTTATCGACAAATTTCTACATAAATAAATGACTGGTGTAATATTCATTGTCCTAATTTATGTTGTTTCAGAGTGAAGGTATTATAATGAAATTAAGGACTGAATTAAACGATGCTGCAAATTCCAATCAACAACTTCAACAACTCGCCGTGGACAAAGACCATCAAAATCAAAACTTGCTGATGCAGATCGCCACCTTAAAAGTATGTTTTTACACAAATAAATAAACACGTACGAGCTCCTTCCCATATCAGTTCGCCCAACGTTAGATTGATAGAAAATTAAATTTTAGAGAACAAAAATAAAAGCGCTGCGTAAATTTTAGAAGTTTTAATGCATCGAACAACATTTTTGCATTTCCTAATTATAGAAAATATTTTATACCGTAATGAAAACTATTGATTAAACAATAATAATAAATTACAAGAAAACGCAGGGAATATGTAATATTAGCAAAAAAAAATATGAAATGACATCCACAATTTTTCGAGGCATAGTTTTTTTCCAGTTCTGACAAAATTCCAGTGTTATCGAATCCCATATTTCTTGCAATTTTTCCTTCAATTGATTGACGGACCTGGCAGGATGTTTTCTCAAAGCTTTTTTCGCGCCACAAAGTCTCTATCGTGGACAAGTCGGGACCCATTTCAGAATTGGTATGCCATGGTCTTCGATCTATTTTAAACTCTTTTTTGAGTTTTGACAACCTGCGCTGTGTTGTTGGAAGACAAAATCTTCCATTGATGTTAAACGGTGTTCTATAATCGGTAAAAGATATTCTGCTAAAATATTCAAATATTTGTCCGTATTTACAATCCCATCGAAAAAATGTAACTTTCCCACAACTTTAGTGGGCAGCTGCCCCAGATCATTTGGAATTTTGAAAAATTCCAAGGAAATTTGACTTCTCTTCAGACAGTCAGGGTGGAAAGCTTCATTTTTCCTGTGAATGGCGCGGCTCCTACTGTCTCCAACACACACTTCAAATCTGGACTCATCGCTTCATTGTATTGAATCCCATTGCGACTGCGTCCAATCTTTATGCTCTTTTGACCATCTTAGTCTATTTTATTTTATTGTAATGTTAAAAGTGGCTTCTCCTTAGCCTAATATAAAATTAATTTATTAAAAACAATTCATACTATATTTTTCAACTATAAAACTTACTTTGTAAGTACTAAATCCTAATTTGTGGGCCTCACGGATACATGTTAATGTAGAAATGTGTCTTCCAATAACGTCATTCCATAAAACGCTTAACTCCATATAATTTGCTCGTCGATTTTTCATTATAATGCGTCTTAATGCCCTTCGATCTGCTTCGGTTATTTTACTTTTTACTACATTTCTAGGTTTTGCGACGACCGAACCTGTAGTTTTGTATCTTCTGACGTTCTGACTATATTTCTTACACTATAGTGTAACAATTGCAACATATTCGCCATTTCCGAATTGGATTTTCCAGAATAAAAAAATCTAATAATGATTGAACAAATTTTCTCATCGATAACTTTACCTCGACCCATTGTACAATCCACAAACGGTAAAAAGCTTTACAATACTACAAAATACATTTGACATTAAGTGACAATATTATTGCTTTGATGACATTTTTCCATAGCTACCTCTGGATTTAACGTAATTATAAAAAATCAATGTATGTTGACAAGTGAATGCATAGCCAGGGTTTAGTGTTTTTTTTTTATTTTTGAAAATAAATAAATAAAAACATAAGAGTAATGTTTTTAATAAATAAAAATAAAAATGCCATAACTGATATGGGAAGAGGTATTAACCAATTTCCTTTCAGGATTCGATGCACGACGCCCAAAAGAAATTGGAAATTTATATACGCAAGGAAAACGACTGGACGAGGGAGATGTCGAGTTTGAACACTTCACAACAGAAGCAATTCGAAGAGCAACGAAACTTAGAACACACGATCTCTCAACTGAACGGACTGTTGCATAACGCCAACAGTGAAAAGGCTGAATCAACTAAGATAATAGCACAGGTAAGGTTCGATTTTATGTGTATTTTTATTATTTGTTGGAATTATTTGAAAACTGGTATTACATTAGGCCGGATGCACACATGGGATGCAACGCTGGCGCCAACGTTGGGTCAATTGTGTTCCCACGTTCGGTGAAGCATCCACACATTGGGGCGATGTCAGTCTGTCACCTTTAGAGCCAACGTCAACATATCCGAGTGCATATGATTATATTTTTCTACAAAAAAGGCGAATTTTACGTCATTTTGTCTACAGCGTTACTTAAGGCTACTAGATCTTTAGAGATGCCGTATTTGGCAACTGCAGACTGAATATATGAGTGTAAACTTACGTCAAAGCTCTGAATCCCCTTTATTCTTTTATTAACTCATTCTCAAATTGCTTAGCGTTCTATTTTGGCTATATTCTGCATCAAACGTCTCTAAAAGTACATTTTTTATGGTGCCTGAAAGGTACTGAAAAAACCAGATATGTATATTATTGGATGAGTGTTAATCCTAAATAATTCAACGTAGGTGGAAATAATGCTGAAAGCAATACAAGTGTTTTTAAAGAAAAAAGAAGACGAGGACTCTTTATAAACTATGGTTTGTCATTTATTTATTTTCTTTTGTTTTGATCAAAAATCGCATAATTATACGCCGATTGGAACACTGCTGTAGCGGCAATGTGTGCTCGGCGTCAACGGCAACACCAGTATTGGCGCCGATCCCTTTGATGTGTACGCAACAACCGACAGTCCACGGAAAACTCCAAACGTTGGAGCAAGTCATAAAAACGTTGGCGCCAACATTGCCTCCAACACAGCTTTGTTGGTACACACATTGGATGAACCCTGTTGGGGCCAACGTTGGCCCCCATGTGTGGAACCGGCGTTAGGTAGTTTTCGTCTTGGATGCATTGGTTTTGATCGTGGCGAGCTTTCTATTTCTGGAGTCATCTTAAGGGCATAGGCTTATTTCGGAGCCGCAATTATCTGCGTATATAATTGATTTTATAAATTATACCATTACTTGGTGCCGAGTCAGCGCTTTCCAATAGTCGATAGAAAGTAGATTCTTGTCTGACGAATGGAGGGATTAGATTTTGTGCAGATTGGTTTCACGGAACTAACAGATTGGGTTTGTGGTGATTTAGTCAGGATCTCCATAATGAAGATAATGTGTCGTCAAAATCTTTTTTATTCAAACAATTGGTGCGTTTTTCGATCTCAGTGGCCTCTCTGATAATCGGTTGTTTTGAAAAATGAATAGGGACTAATTGGGTTGTGAAATTCTTCTTCTTCTTGTGCCATTCTTCTATCGGAGATTGGAAATCATCAAGGATATCCTGACCTAAAGAGTTCATTAGTGGTACAGCCAAACCACTCTCTCAAATGACGCAACCATGACATTCTTCTACGGCCTGGATTCCGATTTCCTTCCAGTTTTCCTGTTGTGAAATGTTTAAAGCCTATTACATATTCCATGATTTGTTTTAAGATATTGCTTGAAAATTGACTTGAAATTTGGTACAAGGATTTGTGCTTTTTTGTAGGAGCCGATTATGCTCAACCTGATTTTGCGAATATAACAGGCGGTGTTTTATGTAGATTTAGGAAGTGATTTAATGAAAATCATGAATCATTTTTTGTTGGTGAGTCAATTGGGTTGTTTCCCGCTTTTGTATTGACAATGGATACTTGTGGTTGAGTAACGAATGACGCAAGTAAAATTCACAATAGGGCCTATTAGTGTCTTCATAGTGAAAATAATGTGGTTTTGTCTTTTTTTTTTAATTTTTGGGGTGTTTCCGGATCTCCATAGCTTCTCGGATGTTCTTTGTGCTTTTCTACTGTCAATGCATGCATTATTTGATTGCCAGGGTCTTCATAGTGAAGGTAATGTGGTGCCATTATCTTTTTTCTGGAGACAATTGATGCGATTTTAGATCTTAGTGGCCTATCGAATAATCTCTGGTTTTGCAAAATGAGTAGGAAGTAGTTCTAGAATGTTTAAAACCTATTATATGATTTATTTTAAAACATTGCTAGAAAAGTAACTTAAAATTTGGTACAAGGATTTGTGCTTTTTTGTAGGAGCCGATTATGCTCAGTCTGGTTTTGCGAATGTAACAGGCGGTGTTTGGTGTAGATTTAAGAAGTTATTTAATGAAAATCATGTACTTATTTTTTTTATTGGGGCAATTGGGGTGTTTACCGATCTTAGTGGCCTCTCGGAAGATATTTGGTTTTATAGAAAAAGTCAGATCTATTGTTTTGGAATGTTCAAAGTCTATTTTATAATTTGTTTCACGACTTTGCTGGACAGGCATGGAAAATCTCTAGTGTGATGGTTATATGGTCTCATTATCTTTATTTTTGAGACAATTGGGGCGTTTCTCGACGTCAATCGCTTCTCAGTGGAGGAAAAAAGTTTTTTTGTATAAAAATTCGTTTCTCTTCGTGATTCATACTTGCCATTGTCGATTAAATACACATTTTTTTAGCTCAAAGCGGATCTCCAGAAAACTAAGGAAGAACTGAACGGCTTGGGCGACATACCTGACAGCAAAAACAAACACGAAGTCGAAATCCTCAATTTAAGTAACGAATTATCTTCAACGCGTAACGAATTGTCATCGAAGATCGAGGAATTACAACAGAACGAAAGAAAGTACAAGACAGAATTAGAGACGTCTAACAAAAAATACCAGTTGATACAAAAAGAGTTGGATGAACAGAAAACGAAGAATAATGTGAGTAATTGTTGAATTTTTGTAAGATATATTAAATCATAAGTCCAAGTTCTAAGTTACAATGTTTTCTTTAGTTACTGTGATTAGTCAATTTTGATGATCGTTTCATAATTTCTTAACGTGCCGGACCTTGAACAATATATTTCTTGAATTTCTTTTTGGTATTACAAATATAGCTTTTTTATCGGCATGTTGTTAACTGTTCGTATTGTTTCATAATAATTCGTGTACAAATTTTTAATTTTTATTTTATTAAAAAATGAAACTTATGATTTAGTATTACTGCTTGTAGATATTTATGGATTTCGTTGCTGTAACATATCATACCCGGCTCTGTCATATAATTTACTTTATCGCAAAAAAATTCCCAATAACGAAGACCCTTTTGCGTATATTATTTACTTAATACTCGATTCGGTAGATCGTAAAATCTCCCTAGCTTGAAAATCTCTATAAAAGCTGTTTTTTCCCGGTAACACTAGAATTATTTCGTGCTTCTCAGTGTAAGTTCTGTTTCTCTGCTTATGTTGGAAGTGAAAAACACTCCAGTTGCTTTATTGGATTTTTTAGTTAAAAATATTGTTTCGGGTGTTTTCTATTCAGTTTGTTTTTCTTGTATTCGAATTAGTTACGTATATGACACAGAAAACAATTTAAGACAAATTGTAACAATTGTCTTTTTTAGTTCAGGCACAAGTGTAATGCCATCTTGGTGAGGTTAGATTGTGAATTACCCCATCTCGGCTTTTACGTCTCCATTCGGGGAAAATATTTTTCCATGCATCAATTCTTTGTGCTTAGGGAAAAAAAGAGTGGTCAGGGGAAGCTAAATCTGGCGAATAGAGTGGATGTTCTAACAATTTACACTGTTATTCGCTGATTTTCTCGACGTATGGGAGATTGAGTTGTTTTAATGAAAAACTTGTTTTTAATTTCATAAAACAGGTCCTCTCTCATTGATTTTTCGTCCAGTTGGCCTAAACGACTACAGTACTGATTTAAGTATATTTTTTACAAGTTTATGTACAAAATTCTTTCTGCATTCCAATGCAATAGGATTTCTTTGGTTTATTAGTTTTTTGTCGAGCTATGAATATTGTTTCGGGTGTTCCCTGTTCAGTTTGTTTTGTATTCGACTTAGTTGTGTACTTAGCATAGAGAATAATTTTTGTCAATTTGTCTCTTTGAGAATGGACGCAAGTGTAATATCATCACCTTGGCACCATCACGAAGTATTTAAGCTGAGCGAACAGCCAGTGATAAGAGGAAGGTAAATCTGGCAAATCGAGTGGATATTGCAACAATTTGTACTGTTATTTGCTTATTGTCACGAGGGATGAGAGGTTGGGTTGTCTTAATGAACAACGTTTTTTTTTTCATAAACCAGGTCTACAATACTGATTTAAGTATATTTTTTTACAAGTTTAAGGCTAATAATAATGCAAGCCTTTTCTCTATTTTTGCTAAAGAAATTAATACCTCCCCCCACGTTCTGCTTCCAACGAATTCCAATTAAAATTGTGCTAAGTATTGTACTAGTATAAGAATAAATGATTTTTACTCTGAGACTTTACATTTATGTATCAATCATGCATTTAACCTATAAATACAAAGTAAAATTTGTCGGACCGTAAATTAATCGGGTTCTTGTTGGTTCAAGATCACGGTGCAACTGAACTATGTCGCATAGCACTAAATTTTTATACCTTTGTTTGATACCTGATCTGAAGCACTTTTATTTTGTAACATATTTTTGTAAGAAATATTTTCCTTTAAATAGCAATTTATAAAAATCACGAAATCCATAAATGTTTAGACGTCCCGACGTGCGATTTCTTAGTTGCTTCGTTAAAACTAACTAATTTGTTTTTGTTATTTTTTCGCCTTTGCTTTAATACTGTAGGAGTTGCGTACAAAGAACTGGAAAGTTATGGAAGCGTTAAATGCAGCCGAAAACAAGAATAAAGAACCGAGCAAAAAGCCAGATATTGACGTTAAAGTAAGTAAATAACGAGGTGGTTTTGTCCACTAAATTTTAAAACATTTCCGTCGCTCTATATGGCTCTATAAAACGAACACTTTTCATTTCTCTTGTTTAAAATTAATTTTTTTTTACTAAAGGCACATTAAGTTGCATGTTTTTCAATTGCATTCTATATTAGACTAAAATATTTGTGTAAATGTACATACATAACATATTTCCTTAATTCTATGGTTCTTCAGTCGTGTAGAGGTAGAAGAAAAACAACGTGACTAAAAATATTACGATCAACGTAATGAATTCAATACGGAAATTTAGGATGGTACTGAAAGACCATTACAGGAAATCTAGTACAGTTGATACGGTATTTAGTAGAGATGGACATTCTGTTCATATTGAAAATTTGGTTCAATGTATCCGCATCACTGCTGAAACTTATACAGGAAGAAAACGAGAGAAACCAAAGCATTGGAGATGTTCTAGAATAGAAGTGGAAATTCATATTTATAATTAATATCGAGTTTAAACGGATCCGCATCACTAGCAAAAGTTATGTTGAAAGAGAATTAGAGAAGAAACTACAACAATAGACATGTTCATGAGTGAAGATGTAATTCTCGGTTCACCTTTTGGGATTAGATTCAATGGATTCGGATATCTACTTTACAAATTGTTGTGATTTACAAAGAAGATATACACATTAATAGATGAACTTTGATCAAGTAAAAGGCAAATATCGAGCACAGTTTAATTAATTTAATCTTGCCCAAGTACTTTCACTCCCTAGAGCATCTTCAGGGGCATTTCGTCAATTGTGGCCTATCCGACAAGAATAAAATGTTATAAACATAAAATGGTACATCACACTACACTACACAATGACAATTTTAATGTGTTTGTCCTTGTATATCCTTGTATATATGTTTATATATAAATGTGTTCATTTATTCGATTCACAAAAGTTCATTTATTCGAGCATTCAACCTTATATCAATACATTAATAGATCTATCTATTTATCTAATCAGCCTGAAACGGATATAGGATATAGTCCTCCCCTGTTAATCTCCATTGATCTCTATTTTGGGCGATCTGCATCCAGTCCTGTCCTGCCGTTCTCTTAAGATCGTCAGTCCATCTCATCTGTGGTCTTCCTCTTTTTCTTTTCTTTTCCCATGGTCTCCAGTGTAAAATTCGCTTATTCCATCTTTCATCTTTTTGCCGGAGAGTGTGACCGGCGAAGTTCCATTTAAGTTTTGCAACCTGTCTTGATACATCGTTCACCTTAGTTTTTTCTCTGATCCATGAGTTTCTTTTCCTGTCTTTAAGACCGATACCCAGCATCTGTCTTTCCATTGCTCTTTGTGTTTTGGATATCCTGTCGATGTTCTCCTTTGTGAAAGTCCATGTTTGTGAGCCATATGTGATAACTGGTAAAATGCACTGGTTGAATACTTTCGTTCGCATATATTGAGGGAACTTTTTATTTTTTAGAATATATGATAGTTTACCAAATGAAGCCCATGCTAGTCTAGTTCTCCTTTTTTTTTCTGTTTGATTGTCCCTGTTCAGATTTATTATCTGTCCTAGGTATATGTATTCTGCCACCTGCTCTAATTTATTCTGTTTGACTACTATTTCTAATTGGTCTTCTTGGTTTGTCATAGTCTTGGTTTTACTATAATTCATCTCTAGACCTACCTCTGTCGCTTTTCTATCTAGTTCCTCAACCATCTTCTGTAACTCTTCCTTCTTATCTGCTATCAGGACTATATCGTCGGCATATCTCAAGTGGTTCAAGAGCTCTCCATTTATTCTTATTCCGTATGTATCCCATTCTAATTTTTTAAATATCTCTTCCATACCCTGATTGAACAATTTTGGCAATATTGTGTCTCCCTGTCTGATTCCTCTTTCGAATTTTATTGGTTCTGTAGCGTGTTCGTTCGTCAATTTTATTGTGGTACTCGCATTTTTGTATATGTTTGTTATTAGGTCCGTGTACCTGTAATTAATTCTGCCGTTCTGTAGTGAGTTTTTGATGGCCCAATGTTCTATGCTGTCAAACGCCTTTCGGAAGTCTATGAATGCCATGTATAATGAAATTTGATACTCGTTCGACTTTGCAATCAGTATTTTTACTGTTAGCAGATGGTCGCTAGTACTAAAACCCTTTCTGAATCCCGCTTGTTCTCTTGCTTGGTATTCGTCAAGCTTAGTTGTTAGTCTATTTGTCATGATCTTCGTTAGTAGTTTAAATACAACACTTAGTAATGTTATAGGTCTATAGTTTTTTAAGTTCTTTCGGTCACCTTTTTTGAACATTAATAGTGTCTCCGCATCGTTCCAGCTATCGGGTATTTCTTTTGTGGTCAATATTTTGTTCATGAGGATATGTAGGACTTCTCTAGTTGTTTTCCCTCCTCTCTTCGGCATCTCTGCAGGATGCTAATAGGACATTAATAGATATTTATGCTAAATGATAACTACACGAGAAACTGCGACAGAATTGAATGGAGATCTCAAAATAGTCTGTCTAGATCAGTACTGAATTTGTATTGAATGAGTATCAAGAAGAAACTGCAGTTTATCTTTAATAGAGATGGGAATCTCTGATGATATTTTACAGATCCGTATTACTATGTTAACTTCTAATAGTGTAAGTGTGCGTTCATAACGAGGCACCGACCCTCGAGCGGACCATAGGATGGTATCATGGTAAAGTAAATGCATTATTTTAAAAATTCCAACGGTCACCGTCAAAGCGCAGCGCCCAGCTTCGAGCCAGGTATCGGACATAGACTTGGACCATAGTATTCCAGCTTAGTATTTTTTCGATTCTCGTCGCTAGTACTCTACGATTGACACTACGAGGTTACAGAATATTGCTTAAAAAGAAGCAATATACTGTGACGAAGTGCCGACCACCGAGCCTCAATGCGATGCCCTAAGGAAACTGGAGCAATGGATATGCTTTTAAATATTCATAATTAAGATTATTGCAACTAATAATTAAAGACAAACACGGTCGAGGTAGAAGAAAATCATCATCACTAAAAAAATTACTATCATTGTGATGGATTTAATACAAAATCGTTAGTACCGACGTTTTGACACGCCTATAAATAATTTGCACCACATTTCACTTGTTTACTGTAAAAATAAACTTTCTTTCAGAAATTGAGTTCGGAGATCATAAGCAAAGAGCAGGAGTCCCAGAAACAATTCATGCAACGGCTATTTCCCGACATCGAAGCCTTAAAGACGCTCAACGCCGGCGACTGGCAGGACCAATGTGCTAAACTGATAGAGAAGTACGTCAGATCTCTCAAAGAAGAGCAGCAACACAGTTCGCAACATTCTTCTCCCCAGAAATCTTCGGAAGTGATAAAATTACAGGCGCAGATTGAGCACTACAAAAATACTATAGACGACACGGTGAGTTTTTGATAATTTTGTTTTCATACAGATTTTCGTTGAATTATAAACTTTATTGAAGAGAAATTATTTTTTTATTATTATAGTAAGGGAACTATCGTCATTTAATTATGAAATGCGTCCTTATGATAGATTTGCCCGTTATTAACTACTACAAAACACGTCAAACTTTCTACACCGCGATAGGTTGACACATATGTACTTCTTAAAGTCATTGGGAAAAAGACTAAACACATACTTTGAAATTCAAAAAACATTAGCTGAAATCTTTCCAGGAGACGAAATAATCTTTAGATGCTTTGCAGCACCAAATGCTTCTAGGCACTGTTGTTTTGATTCGGTTGTAAAGTGTTGAACACAAGTTGCATTCATTGTAACAAATCAGAGCATCCCCGCAGTAAAAAAACAACGTAAACATTGCTGAGATTGTATTCATAATTTGTTTTTGATTATTATGTAATCATTTTGATTATTATTATCCAAGTATTATTACTATTATCCAGGCCTATTATCCAACTTTCCTAGATCTGGGGAAAAAGAGATGGTATTTGTTCAGAATCGCTTAAATTTCCCGAAATGTAAGGAAATTTCTTTGAAAACTGTTTTGCACTTTTTATAACGTCTGAAATAGTCTTTATGAACCATTACCTTCGGTCGTGACTGATTCTCTCGAAAATACCTACTCTATAATGAATTCTTTCTTGTAAAAGTATGATATAGATTGTTTTGATATTACTATAATCTTAGCTATATCTTTAACGACAACTGTTATGTATCTTCTCGATATATTCATCAATAACTGCCGTTTTTGGCCGTACTTTACGTAGACCAACTTTTTGTCTGGTCTTCGTAACATTGAACTGTATTAAATCAAGTGTATTCAATATGTATTGCTCCAAAATTCGTTAGGATCTAGTTTGTGGCGTACTAGAAGGTCTTTTATAACTTTTGCGAGGATATAATGAAGGGGCAGCGTTACCAAATCTCTTACTGTTGCTAGTAGAAGGAATAAAACAGTATTTTAACTATCTCGACTATTGACCAATTATAATAATGAACTTTGAAAAATTAAAGGCAAATATCGAGCACAATTTTAATAATCAAATCTTGCCCAAGTACTTTCGCTTTCTACAGCATCATCAGGGGCATTTCGTCAAATTTGGGCTATCCAGCAAGCGCAGAATGTAATAAACATAAAATTGAACATAAATTGTACACAACACTACACTAAAACAAGGACAAACAGTTTAAAATTATTTAAAAATTATTCTACGCTCTACATTCTTGTCGGCAACAGGAGAAACATTCTCTCGATATGCTCGATAGTTGCCTTTAATTTTTCAAAGTTCATTTATTCGAGCATTCAACCTTATATCAAATTATAAAAATATTTATTAGAAAAATATCTCTTAAAAAAAAAACTATATAATTATGTGATTGTGTTTATTTTTTTTTTATAGGAAGGTTTGTTAAACGAACTCCAAAAACGTGTAGAGCAAGAAGAAATGACATGGAGGGGTCAGTTAGCCGCGAAAGAAGCAGAACTAGAGAATTTAAAATCTAGTCATCTATCGCAGGTAAGTTATGTTTGGTTTATGGAGTACAACTGACAGTTTCGTACTTACAAAACTAGTATTAAATTTTGTATCATGTAATTTATATTAAATATATTTAAAAAATATAAATCATGTATTTATATTTTTTATTTTTCGTAATCTTACTACGACAACATAGTAAGTTTCGTAATAATGCGAATCTTTAGAATATGAATTGATATTCCTATCTCTTCTTCTATTGAAGGACAGGGTGCCTGTCCGTTCCGAACGTTGGCGATCATTCTGGCTATGATGACTTTGTTGGTTGATATACAAAATAGCTGCGTTGAGGTATTTCTATACCATGCTCTCAGGTTAACAAGCCAAGATATTCTTCTTCTAATTCTTGGGGCCCTTTTTCCTTCAATTTTACCTTGTAAAATGCATTGAAGTAGCTCGTATCTTGCCTTGATTTCTCATTATATGTCCCAAGTACTGCAGCTTACGGCCCTTCACGATGTTGAGCAAATCCGCAGTTGTGTTCATCCTCCGCAGTACTTCTTCATTGGTGACTTTGTCGGTCCATGGTATCCTGTCCTGGTCTCATGCATGTCCTTGAACACAGAACTCATAATCAAGAATGCACTCTTTGCCTTTCCGATGCCACATTTAATCTCTTGGGTATTGTCCCACGACTCATTGATTATAGTTTCCCATCTCTATGTACCAGAGATTTAAAACTGGAACTAAGAGTTCGGTTGGCGAGGTGCTATGTTTTTTTGACTTTATTTTATGGAATGGAATCTTTGACCTTGAATGCGACATCAATAAAAAAACTGGAATCATTCGAGCTGTGGGTATACAGAAGAATACTGAAAATATCGTGGACAGAACACGTCACAAACAAAGAGGTTCTGAGAAGGATGAATAAAGAAATGGAAATTTTAAATTATTAAACACCACTTTGAAGCTTACAACCAAAATATTGCAAGGCCAAATAAATCAGAGAATTACCTTAGTGGATGAACAGCAGGGTTTTCGCGCAGGAAGATCGTGCACAGATGCAGTATTCATCATAAAACAGATTACCGAGAAAGCACTAGAGTATAACAGACCAGCATTCATATGTCTAATAGACCTGAAGAAAGCGTTCGATAAAGTAAAGCTTAAAGATGTAATTCACCTTCTTTACGATAGAGAAATTCCACTAAATGTTATAAAAACAATAGAGAACATTTACCAGAACAACAATATGGAAGTCAGAATAGATGACCAGCTTACAGATCCAATAGATATGGGCAATGGAATAAGACTAGGAGACTCGCTTAGTCCAACGCTATTCAATCTAATCATGGATGAAATCATCAATACTATTAATAAAGGAAGAGGATACAAAATGGGGAACAAAGAAATCAGAATACTCTGCTATGCAGATGATGCGGCCCTAATTGCATCCAATGAAGACGATCTACAAAGACGAACCCATAGATTCAACACAAGGGCAAAGGACTTTAATATGGTGATCTCTACACAGAAAACTAAAACAATTGTAATCAGTAAAGAACCAATTAGATGTAAACTGGAAATCGACGGTATCAGCATTGAGCAAGTAATGGAGACAAATTACCTAGGAATTACACTGTCTAGCTACGGAGATGTGGAGAAGGAAGTGAAAAATCAAGTACAAAAGGCTAATAAGATAGCAGGTTGTCTTAATAACACGATATGGCGGAATCCCCACATTAATACCGACGTGAAATCAAGAATCTACAAAGCAACAATAAGACCAATAATGACATACACTTCAGAGACAAGACCGGATACCTCAAAAACTTAGCAACTACTAGAAACAGCGGAGATGCGTTTACTGAGGAGAATTACAGGAAACACACTGAGGGATCGAATGAGGAGTGAAGAGATCAGAAGAAAATGTAATATACCAGAAATAAATGAGTGGACACTGAACAGAAAAAAGGAATGTAACGAACACATAAACAGAATGGAAGAGACCCGATTAGTCAGAATAGCGAGGAACAAATCACCAAAAGGCAGAAGAAGTATCGGGCGACCACGCAAAAGATGGAGTGATAACCTCCAATAGAGGCAATAATCGACATTGAACAAGCATTTTGCTTATAAAAAAGAAGAAGAAGAGAAATTTTAAATACAATAAAAACAAAAAAATTAGAATATCTAGGACATTACATGTGGAGAGAAATACACCTTGCTCCAACTGATTATGCAGGGAAAGATCCAAGGAAAGAGAATCATAGGGAGGCGTAGAATGTCATGGCTGCGCATTGCGCAACCTGAGAGAATGGTACGGATGTACATCAAATGAACTTTTCACAGCAGCGGTCTCAAAAGTCCGAATAGCTATGATGATTGCCGACCTCCGCCGCGGAGATGGCACTTGAAAAAGAAGATCTCTATTAAAAATGAACTGCACTAGTTTCTTCTTGATGCCACTTGAATACAAATTTCAATAGTGAACCGGAGAGTTTTTAGCGAATCTCAAAAAGCAGGGTCGCGTCTATAGTTTCCCTTGGAAGTTTTTATTCAGTATAAATATCTATTAATCTGTGTAAGTATAAATGTCTATGTAAATCACAATTTGTAGAGGTGTTATACAGATCCATTGAATCTCAAAACTAAACCGAATACTCCATCTCTATTTATAAACGTGTCCATTGTTGTAGTTTCTTCTCTAGCTCTCCTTCAGTCTAATGATCCGGATCCGTTTAAATCCGATACTAATTATAAAAATGTATTTCCAACTCTATGAGCATCTCCAATGCTTTGGTTTCTCTCGTTTCTTTTCTGTTTACGTTTCAGCAGTGATGCGGATTCGTTGAAACCAATTACCGGTATGAATCGGTATGTGCATCTATATTAAATATTGGATCAACTGCACTTGTTTCTCCCGTAGTTGTTTTTCAGTACTATCCTAAATTTCAGGAATCATCCTGATACTTTTAATTGAATCTCAAATAAGAACAGGTTTGTAACCTTTATCCAAGGGCAGTGTAGGTACTCTTAGTTCTTCTGCAGATATTATTCCGTATAAATGTTTTCATCACTTAGTTTATCTTCAGTGTTAGTCAATACAATCACACAGTCAGTACAATCACAACAATTTGTTAAATGTTGCTATGCGTATCCATTGCAGCAAATCTCAATTGTAAACCGAGTAATGAATATGGTCTTTGTTTTGGTTTCTTTTCTAGTTCTCTTTCGTTATAACTTTCGCTAATGATTCGGATCCGTTTTCTTTCTGTAAAAGTTTCAACAGTAATGAAGATCCGTTGAACCAAATTTCCAATAACCGATATGCCCATCTCTATTAAATATCTATTAACTGCACTAGTTTACCCTTCAGAGAGTTTTCTTTCAGTATAATAGAGAAAGTTCTCTCTCTATTAAATATGGTGTCAAGTGCATTAGTTTTTCCTGTAGTTCAAATTTTATTAATGATCCAGATACATTTACACAAAAGCAGTGTCTCTACTCTAGTTTCTACTGCAGTGATAATTCAGTATAAATATTTATCGATCGGTGTATCTTTATTATAAATTAACAATATGTAAAGTTGTTGTTATCCCGGTTAAGGGGAATACTCAGTGATCTTAGTTTCTCTCATTTCTTTTCACTATATGTTTCAGTATCAATCCGTCAAACAAAATTTTTAATATGAACCAAGATCTCCACCTCTATTAAAGGACATCAACTGCACTAGTTCACTTTTAATATTTTCTTGAAACGCAATTTAAATAACGATACGGTTGTTTCCAACTCACTAATTATATCTAGTTGTCCAAAAGACAAAATAAATCAATTATTTTTGACAACGGTACATAAAGAATGTAGAAACTGTCAGTTGTACTGTCTTTAAAAAAAAGAATAAACAGTCTGCTTCTATAAAGTATATAATCGAGTATTACAAGGAAAAAGTGAAAATGTCGCAGCGTAGGCCCCAAGATAGAGCTTATACAAAAAAAATACGATGTAAATGATTAAAGAGCTCGTTCTTTATTTTATATGACTTCAGAGGAATCAAAAATGCGACTTACTGAAAAATTTTGGGTCAAATAAAGATGGTAAATAGAAAATTTGTTAATCTTCGATATTATGGTATTACGTATGTACTCGAGGAGTTGGTTGTAAGAAATTTATTGGCTACAGTATATTCAACTACTACATTGCGAAAAAATTCCTTTCGGCATAAAAATCGTATTTTTTTGATTATATGCCGAAGAATTTTCCGATTCTCCTCGTAATTTGACAAAAGTAATTAAAGAATGTTTATTTTATCAGTTCTTTTTCTTTTAACATCAAGCAGCCTGTTTATTCCGCTACGATATTTTGTATTGATTGGCTATCATTTTTGCATGTGAATTAATAGAATCCTGTAGAACGGCCAGAGTTTCAAGGAGTTGAATTTGCCTACAAATGCATAGAAAAGTCGCTGCCAATGATAATTGACGAGGTACGAAGCAGTGTACGTTATAAACGTCAAACAACACCTCGTATAAATGTTGCGTGGCTTAAAAAATTGATCATTTTAAAAGTACTATTTGCTAAATTTGATTGATGAAAACTAGAATAACCTTCTCTTCTGAAGAATAACGTGAAATTCGTATATTAAAACATTTTAATAATATTTTTAATAAATGTGTTACAAGTTAAAGGGCATTACATGTTTGTAAACTTTAAAAATCGTAGAAGATTCGTTGTTAAAGTTGCACTAGTTTATTTTTGGCGACATTTACGAAATTACACCTAGAGCTGATATGAAAAGTTCTAGACGGACTAATTTTGCCATTTTTTATTTCCCATTCTTCGTAACTTTTGTATTTCTTCGTTCATTCTTTTCCGTTGCATTACTGTATGAATTCCCGTGTAAATTAATTTTAACATTTTTCATTTCACTACCAGCATTTAGATTTTTTGTCAAAGTCTTTGTCTGAGTTACATCCTTTTCACACAAATCAAACGTCATTTGTATAACAAAACCTGAGTAGTAACGTCAAAATTTAACCCTC